CTCGCTCAACTGCTCATCTGATTACTGGATGGAAATGTTGTGGGTTGCATAAGAAGAGGCAGTGGTCCAGAAGCAGCCAAGGGGGTTCAGATTGCAAACTTCTGGAAAAGAGATAGAAACCTCTCCCCGTTTGTGGTATGCTCTCCCCAGGGAGTCTAACACGGAATCTCCAATATATATCTTTAGTGTGGTGCAAGGGTTAAGAGCTGTAGACTCGTGATCTAGTGAACAGGGTTCTCGTCTCTGCTCCTCCACATGCAGCTGCTGGGTGACCTTGGGCAAGTCTTTGAAGTCTCTCAGCCCCACCCACCTCACAGAGTGTTTGTTGCGGGGGAGGAAGGGGAAAGGAGAATGTTAGCCACTTTAAGACTCCTTTGTGTAGTGATAAAGTGGGATATCAAATCCAAACTCTTCTTCTTCTTCTAAAAACTTTACTCTAGAACCACGTATGGCCTTTTAAACTGTGGCAGGGGTGCAGGTGGGGCTATTGGTTTGTTTTCTTGTTATGTATTTTGTGTTTAATTTTTTTTTTATGCTGTGAACTGCTTCTGATGAATAGGGGTATACAAATCTAATAAATAAAATAAATAACAAGAATCATAGGATTGTAGAGTTAGAAGGAACCCCAAGGCTTATCGAGTTCAGTTCCCTGCAGTGCACATGCATGTTTACTCTGGAGTAAGCTCAAGAGGTATGGTTAGGTTAAGGTGGCTGGGAGTCCTGGTGTGGTTCTCAAAATAAGGCCACCACTTCCATGCAAAAAGAAGAAGACCTCAAATAAGGCCAACTTTCCACCCCAACCTTGATTATTTTTATTTTTAAAGCAGCATGTGCAGTTTTCCATTTTAAACGCGTGTGATTCATCATTAGTTTTAGTTACGTATTGTCTTTGGCCAGTGACCAGTGACCAGTGACCAGTGACCATCTCGTTGGGCTAGACTGTTGTGAAGGTGCAGAAGAAGGTATACAAGCTCTGCTTGTATCATGGGCATAAAACTTGGATTCTTTTAGCCAGTGCGCCTCAACAAATGCTATTTTTCTACAAAAAAGAGGATGGAATTCTCCTTTTTTCTTAGAATGGCAATGGTGCTCACCTGAGAGGGGCTAGAACTGAGTTCTGGTGAGTTCCTGTTGAAAAAAGCCCTGAGTTCAACATCACAGGTTAATCATCCCTGGATGAAGGTGTATATGCACAAACACGCCACAACTTTGCTGCACTCGGTTACTGCATACTTGGATCAAGTTACCGTATTTTTGTTTTATGTGCCCTTTTGAGGGCACTTGGTTTCAAAATGTGGTGTACAAACTTATTAAATACATTAATCAGTTAAGTAAGTTCATACATGCCCTCACTTGGTAAATGTGCATTCTCCCTCTCCCTCTCCCCCCCCCCCCCCGCAAACCTCAACACATATTTTCTTAAAGGGTATAAAAAGTACAATCATAGAACCATGGAATTGTAGAAGGGAACCTCAGGGTTATCTAGTCCAACCCCCTGCAATGCACAAATCTCAGTGAAAGCATCCCTGACTCATGATCATCCAACCTCTGCTTAAAAATATCCAAAGAAGAAGAGTCCACCACCTCCTGAGGGAGACCATTCTAAACAACTCCTAGCGCCAGGCTGGTTTCCAGACCCTTGATGAATTTTGTTTCCCTCCTCTGCACATGTTAAATCTTCTTTTAAATTGTGGCACCCAAAACTGGACACAGTATTCCTGGTGTGGTCTGGAACAAAGTGGTACTATTACTTCCCTTGACTATACTATACTGTTGATACAGCATGGAATAGCTAGTAAGCCAGATGTCTCTGATCCTAATGTTTGTGCAGTTGGTTCTTCCTGCCAAAGCATAGAAACTGACATTTGTCCCTAATGAAATTCATTTTGTTGGTCTGGACTCAGTTCTCCAATCTGCTAAGGTCACCTTAAATCCTGAGTGCGTATTCTGTGGCATTAGCTACCCCTCCCAGTTTGGTGTCATCTGCAAATTGGATGAGTATCCCCACAATTCCTTCATCACAGCCATTTACAAATACTTTCAACAACAATGGGTCTAGGATAGAACCCCTGCAACACCTTTTGTCACTTTTTTCCAGGATGAAGATGAACCATTAGTGAGCACTCTGAGTTGGATCTGTCAACCAGATACAAACCCATCTACAGGTACAGTACCTCATCCACCTCACATAAGATTGCTTATAACAAAAGTAAAAAAAGGTGTTAGCATTTATTTATTTTTACAATATTAGCAGATAACAACAACAACAACTTTATTATTTGTACCCCAGCTCTCTGACTGAGTTGCCACAGCCATTCTGGAAAACTTCCAGCAGGTACAATACAGCAGGTACACACAATAAAACATCAAAAATTAAAAACTTCCCTGTACTGCCTTCGGACATCCTGTAAAATTTGTGTAGTTATTTATCTCCTTTATTGGAGGGCATACCACAGGGTAATATATATCAACCTACAGTATTATAATTTTAATGCTGGTATCACTGGATCAAGTTAATCAATTTTGTTGAATAATTTAAATCGATTAGATTAGATTTTGAATAAATATGAAATGAATTTTATTGTGTTGTTATTTTCCTTACTAGATTGTGCAAACTGCCATTCTGATTCATGCTTCTTGTAGGCTAGGGAATGGGGCACAGGGGTGGAGTTTATGGAACCAAGGGGGCAGTGGCCTGAAAAAAATTGGGAACCCCTGGGTTAGGGCAACAGCAAGAGGGAAACTGAGGCATCTCTCTCGCAGGCATCTTGGATGCCTGCATTCCATATCCACCACCCGTTGATTCTTTTACAGCAGGGAACACAATCACGCATTCCATATTCCTGATGGATGCTGGAGCGAGCCCCAATATAACTAGGGTAGAGAGGACTTTGGTGGGATTGTAGCTCTGGTATTGCAATGAGCAGAATGGGGCTGGAAAACCCTCTGCGGGTCCACCGCCTCGTACATCTCATTGCGGGTGGGGTGAGCAGGACAACAGGGCGTCCCACGCTGCTAATCTTTCCTCCTATGCAAGATTACGAGAGAGGAAGGGAATCTGGGTGGTGGGGGATGTGGGGTTGAGGGGACACCCACCCACCCACCCACCCATGCCCTCCATAGCAACCTGCAACTCCAAAAGGCACTGGTGTTTCCCTCCTGGGGTTGGAGCTCCCTCTTTTAGCTTTGGGGGTGAAGGGGAATCTCAGGGTTGCAGGGGAGGGTGCCTGGGAAGGAGAGGAGGGGGCAGAAGAGATGCCCAGACAGTAAAATGGTTGATGGGCTCAGAGCCTCCATAGTGCCCTCAAAGACTTCACCCAGGACTAAAGCTTTGTGTCGCCCCTGCTTAAACGTTCTCTCTGCAGCTGAGTTCTGTTGTGGGGTGTAGGGAACACACCTCAAGTGTGTAATGGGACTTGAACCCAAGATCCTGAGATTAAGATACAGGTGAGGCTAACCAAAGTGGTTTGTGATCAGATGCAAAGCCCCGCACTTAAGCTTCGTTCAAATGGGAAGCAAGGACTTCAGAAAGTGCCATTAATGTGCTCGCACCCGAAAGCAATATGGGCTAATGAGGGAGGGAGTCATCCGGGAAATGGCAGTATAGATGAGAACTTTCATAGAGAGAACTGTAGAGGTGAAAGATTACCACCATTCAACGTAATCTTCTTCACTGTCAGGGATGCCAACTTGAATAAAATATTTGGGGGCCGAGTTAAGACCCATTCAGCTTAACCAATCAGAAGACGTGGCACACAGAGACCATTTGAATGACAACGTCCATCAACTGGGGGTGGGGTAGCCCCCTAAAATATTTTATTGCTGGAGTAGGCAGAAAGGGCCTTGGTCCCTAGGAATTGGCTCCTATGTCCACTCCTCCCATGGAAAAGTTATTCCTACTGCTTACTTGTACATAATAGTAAATGAGTTTACGGCATCCTGCATGTGACATCTCTTCAGATATTTGAGGACAGCCTAAGTATAATTGCCAAAGATTTGAATGGTGCTTACTTCCCAGTAAGTAGAAGATGTGCTTGAAAGAGAGCCCGTCCTAATTGGTTCAGTACTGATTTCTAAGTGTTCAATGCATGCATTTATTTTAGTTAATGTACTTGCTTTGCTACCTCAAGGAGTTAAAGGCAGAGTTCCTGCTTTGCAGGGGGTTAGACTAGATGACCCCCGTGATCCTTTCCAACTCTACAGTTCTATAAGTCTACGTAGTTCTCTCCGCCTCAGTTCTAACCTCAAAACAACCTTGCAGGGTAGACTAGGTTGAGAGATACTGACTGCCTGAGGGTCCCCTACTGAGCTTCATAGCCCAGCAGGAATTTGAACCTGGTTTTCCTAGACCAGCACTCTGACCATTACACCACACTACCCCTTAAGAAGCGCCTCGGAATAATGGAGACTTCTGTGTGCTCCTGCCTCGGAGCCAGCTGTTTTTAAAGAGTGATGAGTTAGAAGGAGCAGTTCTTGCGAGCAAATATCCGCCAGCTGCGTTTGTTTCTAATACAAACGCACGTTGTGGTTGTTACTCCAGAGGAAGCTTGGGTGGGCTCGAGAGGACAGCTTCCCAGGAATCGGGGCAGGAGATGGGGGAATGGTCCGAGGTCAGCCGGTTCAGTTAGCTTCTGGAGCTATTGGCGCCCACTTGCCACGGGAAGGGAGCGTTTGGATGCCCCTAAACCTCCCCAGCTCTCCGTACAGGAGAAGAGTTGCCGGATAGGACACCTAGGGAGATAGACCAAGGGTCTGTCTTCCAGTGTAAGCTGGCTTTCTGCAGGGGGCGCTTGTGAGGCCGGAATCGGGGCCGCCCCAGCGGATACGGCGGCCTTATTAGAGGAAGTTTGATACCAAGGACAGCACTGCTCACTGGCTGCGCTTGAGTGGGACGGACCTGTCCGGGTGGGGCGGGTTAGACTAGCCAGCCAGACTTCGTTGGCTTGCTGGAGAGAGTGAGTCGGTTCCTCGAGGTGAGCCCAGCTGGGAGTTGCGCCGCCATGAAGTTGGCTCTGTTCTTCATCCTCTTGCTGCTGCTGCGCCTTCTGTCTTGTGGCAAGACCCAGAGCACGGCCCCTGCTCCCACCGAAGACCCCTTGCTGCTGAATAAGACCAATGGATCAACGTGCGCTCAGTGGCTGTACGGGACGGAGCCGCCGCAGGTGGAAGCTTTCCAGTGCGCGGGGCGACCCGACGGCGCCGAAGTCAAGTTCTGCTGCGGGACTTGTGAGCAGACGCGCAATTGCTCCTTCGAAGAGCTCGCCAAGGGCTCCACTGCGCGCCCCACCGACGGCGGCCCAGAGCTGTGCCCTCCGTCTCATGCGCTAAGTAAGGCGGCCATTTCCTTTCCTATCTCTTAGTACCTCGGGCGGACACTACCTTCGCGCTACCCCTAATTCTGCATGCGACGGGGAGAGCACCTTCGGTGCCTCTTTCGCCTCTCCAAGTAGGCTGCGCGTTTTCGCTTGGGAAGGGTGGCTGGGAACAGGAACTCCATTAGGGTGAAGTCCAGTGCGCAGAAGACTTGCGGGGAGGGCAAGAAGGGCTTCGAAGGTGCTTCAAGGGGGTCGCGTGGGCCCAGTCTTAGGCTGCGCTAAGACGCGTTATGGTGCTGTGATAAACTCTTTGGTTTTTAACGTTGGCACGGACGGACTAGCTTGCTGGCGGCTCTGCAAGCAGCTCCGAAAGACTTGGGCAAGTTTTGTACACCGGGGGGCGGGGGGACATTTCCCCCCTGTGTCCTGCTTTCTAGGCCTCTCCCGTGCAGGGACATTTGTCCCAGGGAGTCTTCTCAGCTTAGTACAGTCAGGCTGTAGTTACTTCGAAACGCTTTCCTTTCCATTCGTTTACTTCCCTTCGAAAAAATGGTTGCAGTGTGAGATACTCTGCCTCAGGTGTACTGCTTTCTAGTTTGCTTCGGTGTAGGCCGCCCCATTTATTAGGAAACGCTTTCCTTTCCTTTCCTGTCTTGGAGTCTTGACTCCTGAAGTGAGACACGGGGGGCGGGGGGGAATGGTTGCGGTATGAGATAGTCTACCTAACGATGCTAGCCATACCCGCTCCCAGATTTTTTTTGGGTAAAAACCTCTCACTCCATTCATAGAGAGTCCAGTTTGTGCCGTTGAGCAAAACAATCGAGCAAATTGATAACAGAACAAGCACTGATCAATATCTTTCTTCAGTTTCAGCCGGAGTGAAGCTGGCGTGGTTCTGTGCAGGACTTCTTGTTGCTGCCATATTTTACTGGGCCCTCTGGGGCAAAGGCAAAAGATACTTCCGTAGGAATACCTCTGCAAGAGAGCAGGAGCTGGAGCTGGAGGACCGCTCTTCCGTGAGACCCCGTGAGCATCCTGGCTCTTCCAATGCCTCCACTACAGCTTCACCGTCCTCTGTTGGTGCAGAGGGTCTTCCAGGTCCCCGTGGAGATCCTGCAGCTACAGCCAGCGATGCACCTAGTGCCCAGCCCCAAGCTGAGGGCTCTAAGGATGGGAGAAGGATTTGGAATCCAAGAGAACCTGCCTCACTCCAAATTGACCCTTCTCCCTCTCAGGCAAACAAGGGTGGCAAAATACCCTCGGCTGGACCCAGGGACGGAGGGCGGGGGGTGCAGTCTGCCCCAGGTGTCACCACCCCTGGGAGAGACACGGTGACTTGGGAGCGCAGAAACTCCATGCTGCCCAGACAGTCTGCCCGCTGCCTCCCCCCCGGCTGTAGAATGGTTGAGTGGGACGAGTCAGGCAGACTCCGTAGGCCCCGCCGTGTGCGCCGCCCCGATGGGCTCACCCCACCCTCACCTCGCCCTGGCCGGCGGCTCATCCAACCCCTGGGCACGCCTCCCGAGGTGCCCAAGTGGCTTCCTCCACAGTGGGCTGCACCCCAGAAGTAGGAGATCCTGAAATTTAAGGCTTAGGCTTCCCTACCAAAGCTGAGCCTTGTACTAATCACCCACAGCATGCTTTGCAGAATCAGTGAAGTTAGCTAATCCTATGAGGAGAATGTCTTACCACCTTTTAAGTAAAATTATTACTTCTATTACGCAATACCATCAGTCCCCTTTTTGTAGACACTGGTTTGTTGCAATAAGCTGCTTTATTATTATGTAATGCAACTTAGATATGCTATAAATTCATGTTGCAACTTAGATATGCTATAATGCAACTTAGATATGCTATAATGCAACTTAGATATGCTATAAATTCATGGTGGGGGGTCAGACCATTGTATCATTCTGTTTGTTTAACTTTCCTTATTGGAGACTTGTTGCCTGCTCTATATTGGCACAAGCCAGGGGTATGTATTATGGGAGGGTTTCTTTTTTGCCACATGGTAGATTCTGAGGTTTCCTTAATCTTTCATTGTATAACCATTTCTGTGTATCATTCCTGAAGAGGCAAACCAGGAAAGCCCGGATGGGTCCTGAATCATTTGCTTCTTTAATGCATGGAATGTTTGTATAATTTGTCAAATGTATCTACCAAATAATCAATAAAAAATATGTGTTCTTCAACCTGGTCTCTTCAATTCTAGTTTTCCATTTTCTGACTAAATTCTATTACAGCTGGGACTTGATATGAAGTGGCCCAATGGTTTAGCTGCCTCCTTCAGATCTGTAGCCCTGATTAGACCCCACAGATTAAATTCAATTCGCTTTCTATTATGTTTATATTTTACCCTTCCTCCAAGGAGCCTTGTAGGTTGGATGACGGGAGAGTGAGTGTCTTGATGTTGCCCAAGGAGTGCCATGGAGAAGGAAGGATTTGAACCCTGCTCTCCCCATCCCTAGTCCAACACTCTCACCACTACCCTATAATTGATTAAGGACCTTAAAGAGTCACAGGTCACCCTGTCTCAGGCAAAGATGTTGTGGAACTGGTGGGAGGGTTTTGGGTGCTCTCACCCTTAATGTTCCTGTTTCTCTCTCTCTGCTCCCTCCTTGCCCTCCATGAGGTGGGGGCTTAGGATACTAATAGGCAGTCCACACAACTTTTCAGGGAGCAAAAAGTTTTAAACCTTCTCTCCCTCTTCCACAATGCTGATGGAAGTACCCCCCCCCCCAAAAAAGCTTCAGTCATCACGGGAATCATGGGGAGGGAAGATTCAACCAGCTGAGGTAGCATCACTCAGCAAGGGAAAAGAGATGGGGGGAGGAGGAGGGGAAGAAAAGTGTGAAGTATCTCTGATTCTACCCTCTGCTGAGAGATTACTCCAAGAGAATCCAGCCCACTCCTCTTCTCACTGCCACACTTTATTCAAGTCCATAGAACTGAGAATTGGCAGGGCGCAAGCACAGCATGGGGGCATTCCAAACTCAGCCAGGGGAGCATCATGACAGAGCAGCACATCCAAATTGCTCTGCCAGTCTGGAGCCCACGTCAGGCCAGGTACCATCATATGATGGCTTCACCCATGAAGCAATTTGCCCCTCCCCTTCTGCTGCTGTTCCTGCTGGCATGAGCAGCAGGACTGCAAATCCAGTGGTGGCCCTGCCATTTCCTTAAGCTCTGAAGCTCCCTTTGGATTGCAGTTTGGAGAAGTTACAAAGGCCACATGCATAGCCTCTGGAGCGATTCAGAGAAGGTGAACACATGCTTCCATCATTATGATGGCATTTCTAACATCAAACAACTTCAGACCAGGGAAGTAAGGATGAGGAAAGCAAATGGATCAGATCAGATGGACGTCACAATTCTTCCTTCCCTTTCCCCTGCTGGGCAGCCCTTCTTCAGCTCCCCTTCCCCTAGCACCTCTGCTTATGACTCGCTCAACTGCTCATCTGATTACTGGATGGAAATGTTGTGGGTTGCATAAGAAGAGGCAGTGGTCCAGAAGCAGCCAAGGGGGTTCAGATTGCAAACTTCTGGAAAAGAGATAGAAACGTCTCCCCGTTTGTGGGATGCTCTCCCCAGGGAGTCTAACACGGAATCTCCAATATATATCTTTAGTGTGGTGCAAGGGTTAAGAGCTGTAGACTCGTAATCTAGTGAACAGGGTTCGTGTCTCTGCTCCTCCACATGCAGCTGCTGGGTGACCTTGGGCAAGTCTTTGAAGTCTCTCAGCCCCACCCACCTCACAGAGTGTTTGTTGCGGGGGAGGAAGGGGAAAGGAGAATGTTAGCCGCTTTGAGACTCCTTCGGGTAGTGATAAAGTGGGATATCAAATCCAAACTCTTCTTCTTCTTCTAAATTTTTTTCTCTAGCATCACGTATGGCCTTTTAAACTGTGGCAGGGATGCAGGTGGGGCTATTGGTTTGTTTTCTTGCTATGTATTTTGTGTTTAAATTTTGGTTTTTTATGTTGTGAACTGCTGTGTGGTCTTCAGGTGAATGGGGGTATACAAATCTAATAAATAAAATAAATAACAAGAATCATAGGATTGTAGAGTTAGAAGGAACCCCAAGGCTTATCGAGTTCAGTTCCCTGCAGTGCACATGCATGTTTACTCTGGAGTAAGCTCAAGAGGTATGGTTAGGTTAAGGTGGCTGGGAGTCCTGGTGTAGTTCTCAAAATAAGGCCACCACTTCCATGCAAAAAAAAGAAGACCTCAAATAAGGCCAACTTTCCACCCCAACAATGATTATTATTATTATTTTTAAAGCAGCATGTGCAGTTTTCCATTTTAAACTTGTGTGATTCATCATTAGTTTTAGTTGCGCCCTCCCTGTGGAACACCCTCCCACCAGATGTCAAAGAGAACAACAACTACCAGACTTTCAGAAGACATCTGAAGGCAGCCATGTTTAGGGAAGCTTTTAATATTTGATGTATTACAGTATTTTAATATTTTTTTGAAAGCCGCCCAGAGTGGCTGGGGAAGCCCAGCCAGATGGGCGGGGTATAAATAATAAATTATTATTATTTATTATTATTATAGTTACGTATTGTCTTTGGCCAGTGACCAGTTCACAGTCTAACCCATCTCGTTGGGTTAAACTGTTTTGAAGGTACAGAAGAAGGTATACAAGCTCTGCTTGTATCATGGGCATAAAACTTGGATTCTTTTAGCCAGTGCGCCTCAACAAATGCTATTTTTCTACAAAAAGAGGTGTTGGAATTCTCCTTTTTTCTTAGAATGGCAATGGTGCTCACCTGAGAGGGGCTAGAACTGAGTTCTGGTGAGTTCCTGTTGAAAAAAGCCCTGAGTTCAACAGCACAGGTTAATCATCCCTGGATGAAGGTCTATATGCACAAACACACCACAACTTTGCTGCACTCGGTTACTGCATACTTGGATCAAGTTACTGTATTTTTGTTTTATGTGCCCTTTTGAGGGCACTTGCTTTCAAAAAGTGGTGTACAAACTTATTAAATATATTAATCAGTTAAGTAGGTTCATACATGCCCTCACTTGGTAAATGCACAT